GCAAAGTCTTCAGCCCAGAAATGTCCAAGCAGTTCTGGGCTGGGGGGTGGAGAGGGTGAGGTGGCAAGCCTGGCCTCCAAAAGCCTGGCTTCCTCTGGGCTCAAACACCGGGTCTAGAGGCGCAACACACACAGTTTGAAAAATAGCTTGTTTTTTGCTTCATTTCTTGGTCGTGAAGTCTCTTGCTAGTGCTTTTTTAGGAGAAATATCTGCCAGCCTGACTGGCACAACCGCGTTCCAAACCTGTCTACTAAGAACGCCCTAGCACCTAGAATACATTTGGTGAGTTGACGTTGCAAGCTGCAATTTTTGAAATGAATGCCGGGTGAACATTTGGGCCATGACATGAACACATCACTTGAAATTGCCCCAAGAAAACACCATAATAGCTTCATGCTTTAAGCGTCTAAACACGTTCAATCTCTTCACGCTTATTCTATCTCATGGTCTGTTTTGCAGTGTGCAGTAAGTACTGCGCGCGCCTTCTTTTTCACATGCTAACATTCCATAGTTCAGCCCGTCAACTTATATGTATATGCTTAATATAGATACATGTGTGCCCCTGAAAAAGCCACGAACACGTATACTTACACAGCAAACATCTTAAAAACTGCCCGCGCATCTCTCACGCCTCGACCACATCAGGCCATGCCTGAGCCGGTTTTCTGGTGAACCAAACGTTTTTTGTGGGTCTTGCGTTTTATCATGCTTTGAAAATTCAAACGGGCTCCAAACACAAAAAACCATGCCTGAAACAGCGAAATCCATGTTAAGTTGGGTATCTTCATCAAAGAAAGTTTTACTCTTTCCAAGAACAAATGGACATCTACTATTGAAACAGCCTTGTCAGGAATCTGTGCGGGACTTTGTACAAACAGGTGCCATCAAACAGGCCTCAAAGGAACCTTGCTCTAGGAAAGCCTCTTTGATTGAAATTGCATTGATCTCACATGAATTCGCTTCACAGCTTTCAAAAACAGGGTAATGTAGGAAAATGCACAGTATATCATTTGAGCTAGCTTGTGCTAATGAGCCCTGAGCAAACCAGGTCGACCATACCTCGTCTGGTTGGACGTTGAAACAGCCTGAGACTCTTGAACTCACGCCAAGGAAATTATAGCTGACAAAGGGTGAGAGAGAGAGAGAGAGAAAAACAAATACATCTCAAGATGCTAACGCAAGCCACTGCAATGTCATTGGTTTTCAACGCAGGGCTGGAGCTCTTGTCGTAACTACTTGGTCTCTGTGGCCAAATCACCTGACTCTTCAGTGAGAGTCTCGCCCACTAGCCACCAGAGCGATCCACATCGATCCCCTCAAAATTCACTGCTTTCAACTGCAGCTGGGCCATGAGCGATCTCCTCAAAATTCACTGCTTTCGAAGGCCCTGCAGCTGGGCCATGAGAGCGTCCAGCGATTGGGATTTGGACTCTGTCTTTGGCTTCTTTGTCTTCTTTTCTTCACCATCGTTCTTTCCGCTCTCTTCCACACCCTCGCCCGCCGGTTCCTGTTGTTCTTGCTCTTCGCCTCCCGCATTTTCCTCCTCCGTCTTTGTCTTTGATGTCCCCTTTCTCGGACGCTTCTTTTTGTTGTTGGCCTGCTCGTCATTGGGCTTTTCGTTTTTGTGCACAAGGGCACTCAGCTTGGCATCATGCAAGGGGCTCGACTCGTCACACATGGCCTCAAAGACAAGCTGGCTGAGATGCTTGTAGCCGGCGACCATGTGATCCTCTGTGTACATCACGCCTAAGTATGGCAACTTGGACTCAATGGCGATGAATGCAGGCGTCAAGTCACAGGCCGTAAAGTCGAGTATGGCCCTCGGAGCCCAAACGTGGAACAGGTCTTTGTAAAACTCTGGAGGAGCCCCGCTATAGGCCATAGGTTCAAATGCGATGCTCTCATCCTGACCCTCTGGCTTCCGGGCTAGCTCCGAGCGCTTGTACTGGGGGCGCTTTGCACTTTCTTGCGGCGACGTCTCAGTAGGACCTCCAACCGCAATGCGAAAAGATCCATAGTACTTCTTCTTCTCCGCCTCAGTCACTTGCCAAAGCCGGTCACTGAACTTCTCGACATTGATCGGCCCAACCAAGTCACCTGAGCTGCTCCCTGGGTAGATGGATCTCTTCACCTCCGGCATTTCTAGATTGCTCCGGCTGAAAACGTGCATCATTTCCACCTGCCAACAAACATTCAAATAGCAAGGACAACACAGCCATCTTATTCAATGGTTGCCAAGAGATTGTCCTTTATCTTCTTGGAACATGCTGGAGCATATGAAACATAACACCAGCTGACCTGATGAAGGCTGCCAACCCCTCGCACAAGCCCTCGCCGTGCGCGAAGAGACTCTTCAGAATAGGACAGGAAAATGGTCCGCTTCTCATGCTGGATGCGTTTGTTCTCATCCGTGACAAACAGGCTGCTGAAAATTCGATCGTTGCCTGCCAAACCAATGAAACAAGGTTCAACACACACACACACACACACACACACTCTTGACAACACAACACATTTGAAGCTGTTCTTCCAAAGCTTGGAGCATGAAGCTTCCAAGTTTTGGTCTGTTCTTCCAAAACTTGAAGCACGCAGCTTCCAAGTTTTGGTTTGTTTTTCCAAAACTTGAAGCATGAAGCTGCCAAGTTTTGGTTTGTTCTTCCAAACTGTGAGCCCTGACATGCAACAAAGGAGCCATGCTTGCCAGCGTCCATGAAAAAGAGAAGGTCGTGTTCATGCATCTCCATGGAACCACGGCTCTGCAAGAAAGCTCGTACAGCTTTTTGGCAGTGATCTTTGCGCAATGGCGCAGTGCGCAAGTGTGGAGCTGTTATACTCTCTCCGCACTTTTTGACATCGTACAAAGCCAGGATCCTTCGTTCCTGTGTGCCACGCATCTTGCCAATCTCAGCATCACTCAGCGCCGTGGCAAAGGCTGATTCACTGACAGGCTCCACAATCAGCTTGACTCTCTGCTTCACTGTGTGCATGGCCATAGACCTATACTTCAAAATTTTGTCTTCGTCCGTCTCAAGGTCCTGGAAACACACAATCTGCAAATTAAACCACAAACCTAGGTTAAGTTACACGGTTTGACATGCAAAACATCCAATCCCCTTCAAAAACCAAATCCCTATGACTTGAAATGTATATACTAACATGAAGACATCCACTTGAGTCCTCAATGCCTGTTGTCAGAATGTGCTCAGGAACATCATCAATGCTTAGCGTTGATGGCTGTGGTGCTGTCCCTGGCAACGCCTGGCCGGACTCCTTCTTCTCTTTCTCAATTTGCTTGTCAATCTCCTGGAGAAGAAACAAACAAATCCGGAGAAGCTTGAATAACAGACTGGTGGGTAAGTGAAAAATGGTTTGAAACCCGAAGCATAAGAATTCAAAAAGGAGGTCCTTCACAAGCTCTTCAACGCCACCATATTGCAATGCCTCGGTGATCGACTTCCGGTTCTTCAGCGCCTGCTTTAAAGTTGGGTCATTTGCATTGCTGAAGACCAACCCCTGGCCAGCAGGACAAGTGCAAACACTGCCAAATTAAAAGCAATAGAAAGAAAAACCAGTAGTGACATGAAACACTTCCTGCAAAAACGTGAGATGAGAGGAAACGCCTCGGCCAGGAAAAGCACAGAGCGTTCAGACTCCAGCCAGGCAGCATTCCAAGTCAAATCTGGTTGGGCATCATCTTTCGGCCAACCGAAAGCCTTGTGATGACTGTCATGGGATTCAAGCGCAGCGCGGATGGCTTTCCGTGTGGAATCACACTCCACCTTCTCATCCACAAAGCTCCCAAGAAAATGGTCCAGCAACTCCCGCTTGAACATGAACAAGTCAATGGTGCCTTTGTTACCACCGGAAGCGCTAATCTGCCTGGTCGTCAAATCACCCTTGGTCAGGTATCCACAAGTGAAATACTGTTCGATGCACTTCAGGCACCAAAGCAACATTTCCTGGCTGCTGAAAAGCTTTATAGCACAAGTAGCTTCCGAACCAAGTGCCCTTTTGGAGGGTTGTTTGACACGACGGTATAAAAGGGGCACCCAAAGAATTCTCATTTGTTGTTGTTTGGATCTTGTTTTTAAGGGCGCGCAAAAACGAAGGAAAATGGACAACAGGTCCTGCGTTCTTGTCTTGGAGATCATCAGCTGGTACTGCACGATTCCATTCAACGGGGCATCATGGCCATAAGTGCGATCCATGCAATGTAGGACGTCAGCAATTTCTTTGCAGCTCAACATCCTGGACCATACAGTCATGGCTTGATCCACATAGCTCTCTGTAATCGCTTCTGAATCTGCCGCCGTTGCCCGCTCCTTGGGCAGGGGAATCTGAAATCAAGCTCACATACATAAGTTTAATCGCATTACATTCCATGGCAACATCAACCCAATTCAGGCTGTCCTCATTGTAGAGCTGTGCAACCCGCTGAGCGCTCAGAGTGCCAAGATCTCGTTCCTTTCGTTGACGAAAGAGACCCAAATGGTAAACCTTCTGAAGAACAGTCCAGGCAAACCCATGGTAGTCTGCCACAGCGCTTTCCCGTAAAGAGTCTGCCCGCGCAGATCTGTCATCAACAGTTGGAAGAAGCTCAAACATGAACATCGTAGACAGGATGACCCTAAGCCATCCTTCCAAAAGATCATCTGAGGTCTTTTCACGGATAAGCTCAGCCAGGCGAAGCACAAAAGCGTGGACAAGCTCTGGGGGAGAGACTGATTCCATAGCGCCCTTTTCACTCATCATCCCATTTTGGGCCTGCTGGAGGGACACTGCGACAATGATCAAACCTGGGAAGCGCCGGGGGGCCTCCTGCCCCTGGAAGTAGAAGTCCTTGAGCTTCAAGATTGAGTTCTGGTTGTATGGCACACCAGGAGATGTTGTGAAGCCCATCTTGATCCATGACAAATTGCCTCCACAAGCATATTGTTTCGTTCTTGCCATAGACGTCACAAAAGAGCTGTGGTCATAGACAGCCTGGAAGCCAGACTTCTCATCTGAACCAGCCTGTTGCAAAGTTTTCACAGTGTGCACAGACTAAAATGGTTCCCATACTATGCGACAAGAAAATTGCCATTTGACTTCAACACGCAGCGATACAGCTTCAAAGAACTTATGCAAAACCAAAACCAAGATGAACCTTAAAACAACACTACGCTTTTTGCAATCACTCCCACCGACCGTGACTAGCAAGCCTCGATCTCATACGGGGCCATGGTGGAGACATTCTCAAACACCGGGTGGCTGACAATAGTGGACCAAGCTTGGTTCAACTTGTCCAGGTACTCGATATTCGCAGGGTGCGTAGTTCCATTGTCCACAAAATTCACTTCGACAATGGCGGCCGGGACTTGAGAACTTCCTTGGCCATCCTTGCCGCCTTTACCACCACCTTTGGAATTCTTCTTCTTGGGTGCCATACTGGAAGGATGATCTAAGCCAAAAAAGACTGCAGCCGTGAAAGTTTGACAGTTCCATCAAGCCATTGTGACAAACAGCGTTGCATGTCTCATCTAACTTGCAAGTCCAATGAATCAACCCGATGCCATGTAAGTCTGCAAGGTGCATGAAACACTGGAAAGATAATGAATCAACCCGATGCCATGTAAGTCTGCAAGGTGCACGAAACACTTGAAAGATGCCATGTAAGCCCAATGACGAACACCATAGAAAAACTTTGACTTGTCCAAAGCCGATGCAAGAAGCTTTTCTTCCTCGCAACGCCATGTAAGTCTGAAGGCCTAATTGGCATGAGATTTCCACGAAACTTGCGAATTAGCGGTATCTAGATCAACCCCATTGCCCAAGCTGCCTGCATCAAAACAGCCTGAACCACATCCACGCTCATAGCATTGCCGAGCATCTTGTTCATCGCTGAATCCGGTGCCCGCTGGTCATGGCACTCATAGCCCTGCAGCTTCATCCGGTCATCTGTCGTCAAATACCGGCCCAAAGAGCTGCACCAATAGCTTTGGAGTGATGAGCGGCTGTGCAACAGGCATGGGCTCACGTTCTCCCTGTAAGACAGGAAAGCCATGGAGCATTGGCAATCAATCACCCAGCATTGCTGTGATGGGTTCCTGCCATCCGACCGAATCCGCTTGTAAGCCTCCTTCACATTCTCATAGGGCCGTGTGTGCTTCCGAGGTGGGAGTGAACCTCACAGTTCGCATCACAATGAAAATATGATCAACATAGAAAACACAACTCAATCAAAGAACCTAAATTAAAGGATCCATCAACCAAAATCTCACTGTATGCCAGTAAGAAGCCAGGTCGTCCATCGTCTCCATCGTGACCCAAAAACTCATCCAGTGGAGGGCATGGTATTGGAGCAGGCCACCTGAAAGCACGTCGCAAACGAGAAGACTTGATCCCTACAATGTATAGTCGCAACCTGTGGTGAGGAATACCAAAGTCTTGGGTGTTGAGGAGGCGGGTGTAGACACGGTAGCTGTTGTCCTCCAAGGTCTTGATGACCCATTGCAGCAGGCTTGCATGTTTCTTGTCCATGATCCCTTTCACATTTTCATACACCACCAGAGATGGCCGCTTGCTAACCACATAGGCCAGGCTGTCTGCTACCAAAAGCCCTCTCTTCTGGCAATCATCCACACCAAGACCAAGTCCCGCCGATGAGAAAGGCTGGCAGGGGAAGCCTGCGCCATACCAATCGCAGCAATCCATAGACTGGTGATCCCTTTGAGTGATATCCGGGTAAAACTTGAAAGGACGGTGGTTCTCCAGAAGCATCTTTTGGCAATGACGATTCACATCACAGGAAAACATGTTGACGGTCGTCCGGCCAATCACTCTGCCAACTCGCTCAGCTGCCAATTCAAAGCTGCCAAGGCCAGAAAAATCACTACCCACTCGGATCGCCTCAGCTTGGACAAGGAAACGTTCAACACTAAGTCACTGTTGAATTTAAAAATGAAAAGAAGCAAGCCATCCGTGGTTCTCAAACATAAAGAGCCCTGGGCTCTAAACTAGCATGGTACCATGTGGTCTCGCACGCTTGAATGCTGGAAAGGAACATGGGGAGGCAATGTCCGGTGAATCTTGCAGGTGAGCCCGTACTTCAACACATGATCATCCGCCTCAGGCTCAGCCTTCCGCTTGGCAGGCATGATAGCGACTGGCACTCCTTATATAATGGGCACTGAAAACAGCTTGAACCAAGAATG